ATTACTTTAGGGACTACATGTCTCCCTGCTCGAATATTAGCACGTAGTACTTGTCAGTTGAAACGAGTTGGTCTGTGACGTTTACGTCTTATAGACAACTTTACTGTTAGCAACAAATACACAAGGCACTGAGGATGATCTGTTCAGATTAAAAACGTTCTGCCAGAATTTAAATGTTGACGACACTTTTATAAAGTTTTAAATATTTGTTTTTTTTTATACCGAAATACACATGTGTGAAGTGTTTTAACTTTTTTTTTTTCTTTTATGTCCGTTTAGTGTTTCTACCGATCATTTGTGACTTAAAGGTATTTATATGTCTTTCATCGATTACGACAAAGCTTTAGATAGGGTACAACATGAGACGTTTTAGAATATATTAACAACCAAATGCACTGATGATTGTGTTTGCGATCAAACGCATAAAATTGCAATATCTGGGACAAGTTATGAGAAATCAGCACCGTTACTCCCTGGTGCAGTCTATATTACAAGGTAAAAGTCAAAGGTAAGCGAGGACCCGGTAGAAGGAGAATATCATGGCTGCGGAATTTAAGAACATGGATCCCAGAATCATACAGAGGTATATCACTGGCATTCTGTGTACTTAAAACATTACAGCGAATGCTCAAAACAAGATTGGAATATTGGCTAGAATCCAATCTCAAACTACCAAAATATCAGTTTGGGTTTAGAAAAGCTTATTCCACAATATCATAATTACTCATCTGATAGTATATGTATGAAATATTACTGACATTATTATGTCATTCTCATTAAATCGTTCTACCATAGCTTTGTTTATGGATATTTAGGGAGCCTACGATAAAATAAATCTAGGAATTCTACATCAACAAATGGTGCGAATTGGTTTTATTTATGAATGTTCTAATAAAATAATAAAATTATATCGTAATGACATAATTAATCTTAAAAAAAACATTTTAGATACAAGAACAACAACTCTGGGATTACCTCAAAGTAGCGTTTTAAGTCCTATATTGTATACAATCTATACCTTTGACCTAGAAGAGCTAACAGATGAATTCGGGGAAATTAAGGTACTGGAATATGCTGACAATATATGCATTTACATTGATAGTTGTGATTTTGAATCTGGTTACAGTTAAGATTTACTTAAGAGCTGTAAGTGTGTAAATGGGGAAGAAATCCCGAATAGTTGGAAAGAAGCATGGATTACTCCAGTTCACAAAAAAGTTCCAAAAGGTATTTACGGAAACTACAGATGTATCTCTGTCACCAGTACCTTTAGCAGAATGTTCGGTAAAATCTTAAAAAACATGATTGAGAAAGAATACGAACCTCATGAAATTGAACAGCCAGCAGGATTTAGAGCTGGAAGATCTTGCGTAGACCATATATTTACCCTAACACAACTGAATGAAAAGAAAGTTGCAAGAAACCAGGAAATACATCTTTTATTTGTGGATCTCAAAAAAACATACGACACAATTTCTTTGAGAAAGCTGTGGCAGTCTCTTGAACGATCTCCATTAAATAGCACAATCATCGCTGCAGTCAAACAATTATACAATAAAGCATCATCAAAAATCAAACTAAACAACACCTTATCAGAAGAATTTCCAGCAACAAAAAGCCTACGACAAGGATGCTGCCTCTCTCCAATACTATTTAAGATCTATTTAAATGAAGCACTAAAACACCAGAAAAGATCCTGTTATACATCCCGATGCAATACTTATGCATCGGGAATGAAGTAGAAGACCTAATGGTCAACGAACATGAAACAATAGGAAATCCTCGTCAGATTTATGTCGCTCGTACCCAGCGTCCTCTAAAAGTAAATGTTTTGGGAAGGCATAATAGGGAATCATAGTATTGGTCCATTTTTTATAGACGGTATGTTGACTGGGCGGAAATATTTAGAACTTCTGCAAAATTAAATTGTCTTAGCCCTTCGTAATTTACCAATTCCTTTCGATTCCATATGGTTTCAACACGATAGTTGTCCTGCACATAATTTCGCACCGTTGGTGAATATCTCAGTGCGACTTTTCCTAATCGATTGATTAGTGGCCACGGAGATATTTTTTGGCCTGCAAGATCACCTGATCTTGCACCTTGTGATTTTTTTTAAGTGGGGATATATCAAGTTCAAACTATATGGAATTGAAGACGATAGGCCTAATTCTATACAAGAATTAAAAGAAAAGATCTCTGATTCAATGAGAGGTATTAGTCCAGAAACATTAACTAATGTTAGACGAAACTTTTATAATAGATTGGGTTATTGTTCTGCTGATAATGGAGGCTTATTCGAACATTTTTTGTAAATACATTTTGTTAGAATAAAATACGTTTATTTAGAATATTTTTATAGAATTTCTAGTTATTTAAACATTTTTTGTAAGTACATTTATTTAGAACGTTCTTTTATGTTTGAAGAATTTTTACTTTATTTTCGAAAGTACGACATTGTTTTTTCAATAATATTTTTATGTTTTACTATAAACACTTCCAATAAAGACTGAAATAAATGATTTGTGATTTAAAGGAAAACGCTATAATATCTGCATAATTTCAAGCTTTTAAAAAAGTAAAAACTTCATGTGGGATTTGAACCCTAACCGCCTGCATGTGTACATCGTGCCTTGAGCTCTGATCCATCAGACTTTTGTAATTCTTTAGGGGCAGTTTGGGTTATTATTCTGCTGCTAATGAAGGCTTATATGAACATATTGTAGATACGTTTATTTACAATATTTTTTTATTTTTGTAAAATTTTTACTTATTTAAACATTCTTAAACGTTCTTTTAATTTTAAAGAATTTTTACTTTATTTTCGAAAGTACGACGACACTATTTTTTCAATTAGATATTTATGTTTAACTTTAAACACTTCTAATACTAGTAACGACTGCCATAAATGTTTAGTCAAAGCAAGGATCTCTGATAATTTCAAATTATTAAAAAAAACACATGGAGGTTTTGAACTCTAATCGTCTGCGTTACAGTGTCGAATTCTTACCACTAATCCACGAAGGATTGCTAATTATTCCGTGACAAGAGTGTATGAAACTCCTCAAATCATAGTAGAAATCATTCTTGGTTAATAATTTAAAACTTTAGAATAAATAATCACTATTAATTAAATTATTTTATTCACATTTTTGCTGTATTGTAATCAATCAGTTTTTACTTTATGCGAAATTAAAAAATAGAAATACGTCACACATACGACGTTAAACATAATAATTATGACCGAGGTGATTTAGCTCGAAGCTAACGTCTAAAGGCGTGAGACCATCTATTTTATTTATTTAGCGTATGGACATTCACAGTACGATAAATATACAAATACAATAATATATACATATATATTAAATATATTATTTAAACACTAAAGATAGAATGAATGACACTAAATATTAATGTCCAATTTACATAGCCATTCAATTGCTTCTGGAGAACATTTTGCAAAGTCCTGGAGTTTTCCACGGTAGGCACGATTCAAGTAGTCTGAAACAAAATGGCTCATGGTCTGTCTAGATTGTCCGCAGTTGCACTGTGGACGACCCCACATAAACAGCGAATCAGCACATTTACCATATCTGGTACGTATACGATTAAGCCTTGCCCAAGTGGACCGGGGCAGATTTGATCCGATAAAACCCTGAGTTGGGGTGGATATCTTAATATAGTCCGATTCTACTGTTGGCATCCATCTTGTTGTCCACGGCCTATGTATATTATAGGAATTACCAATTTTTCGGGCAGATCGTATTGAAGAATTTCTAGATCTCAGTCGCCGGTGCTCTTTTGAGATGTCTGGGATATCTTGATGTATTGGTAATTGTACGTTGGCTACAATTTTCTGATACTCTCCTACGAATGCTGCTTCTACGGCGTAGATCTGGTGGAGCAATATTGCTCAGAGTAGGCAGCCATCTCACTGGCGTTGGTTTTATTGTTCCAGTGAATATTCTCATGGTTTGGTTAAGTTGGACATCGGTTTTGCTTGTATGTGCACTATTTAGCCATACTGGTGCACAATATTCTGCCACTGAAAAAACCAAAGCTAGAATAGAGGTCTAAAGAGTATCTGCAGAAGCACCCCAAGTTGTTTCAGCAAGTTTTGATGTTAAGTTATTTCTTGTTATTAGTTTACCGGCTGCGTTTGTAAGATGACTTTTGAAGGTGAGTGTTCTATCAAGTGTGACGCCTAGATATTTGGGGTTGTTGTTATGTTTGATAGCTGTATCATTCTATCAGCTGTATCAGACTATCTATAGTAGTAATGTAATGTAATGTAAATTATAGGTTTTTATCGATTATATTCCACCTCTACGGGTTTCATCTTCTTTTATTTCACAAGGTAACTGTGTTTTCTATCTCTTACGTTACAAAGCCGGGTGGTGAGGCACTCCATACTCTAGACTACAAATAAACGTAAAAAAAAACCAAGTGCATGATTATTTCTAAGCAACATACAGTAGGAAAGCTAGATATCGAGGGAAAACAAGTAGAAAGAGTGAATCTAAAGAGTGAACTACAACTATCTGGGAACCTAGGTAATCGAAAGTAACGACCAAGGTAGAGAAATAAGGATACGCATTTAAATTGCAATACAAGCATTTATAAAAATGAAAACAATTTTTGTTAATCAAGATCTTTCTTTGGAGCTGATTATGGAATGGAAATCTGGACACTAAAAGTGGATTATATAAAGTAGTTGGAATCATTTGAAATGTGGAGCTATAAAAGGATTTTGAAAATACCATGGATCCAACGAGTTACAAATGCAAAGTGTTAAGAAGGTTACAAAAGTCCACTATCTTTCTTATCTTATTAGTTTATTTTAAATTTAATTTAATTCTTGTAATAGCGTTAGCAATCTATATCATCCGTTTAAGCGTTATATTTAAGTAGTTATTATATCTAATTCAATCATTTATAAGTATATCTCGTCCATTTCAATTACATTAAAAATCGTTTTTTATTTAATTATACAAACTTACCGCTTCTGATGTTAACCAAAGACAAGTAATGTATGGCTGAAAATAAAAAAATAATTTTTTAAAATAGAACACATTCGACTTAAAAAGTTGCTTACCCCCAATGTGTCTGGAAATATTCCTTTCATGGCATCTTCAACTTCTTCTTCGGTAATTCCAGTAATGGCATGGCAACGTTCTGCCCATTTGATACCATCGGTTTGTAGATGTTCACCCAAATCCTACGAAAAAAAACTTGTTAGAACGCTAGACAGATGTATGCAAAAATTTGAAAATTAACAGTTAACTAAAATAATATTAAAAATTACAGATCTGGTCCAACTGGTTATTTTAGTAAACCGCCAGACAAATTTATTTCTTCTGATTGAGTATAAGGATATTGTTGGTATTATGATAATTGATAATAGCCTAGCATACTAAACACGGTTCTTAATTTATATCATAGTTACATGATTTGTGAAAGTATGTTTTTATGTTATCTTTCCTTGAACTTAGGCTCACGTTTGATTAGTGTACTGATATTTATACATTTCTGTCTTAAAAGAACATCATTTTATCTGACCTATGATCTTTGTCGTCATCCTACAGCATCCCATCCTATAATATTATATCTATCTTATATTAGTTTTTGTACAAATTCTCCCGTCTATTTATTTTCAGTACTGGTTTATATGAGGTGCTTAGGCAAAACTCGTTAGATCCAATTTTTGTGAAAAATAAGATACTTAACTTAATTAGTTCCTCAGATCGTGTCCAACGCCACAAATTAATGCAGATTTTCAAGAAAATTGATATATACCAAAAAGACATAAGATGCATTGAAAACTTGTACTGGCATCAAATGGCACAGGTAAAAATAGACAATTCTATATCCAAACCCATACATATAAGAAGGGGCGCTCGACAGGGATGTGTGCTTTCCCATTTTTTATTTAACATTTATTCGGAAGCGATAATATTTCAAGAGTCTTTGGAGGATGCAGAGATGGGAATCAAGGTGAATGGAGTATTGATCAACAACATACGATATGCTGATGATGGTGTCTTAATTTGTGACAACATAGTCGATCTTCAACAACTTGTTACTATAATCGGAGAATACAGTAAGCGAATATGATTAGAGATTAATACCAAACAGACCAAATTTATGATTATTTCCAGAAACTCAGATACACTTGAAAACTCCACCATAACACTGAATACTAAGCCCATTGAAAGAGTGAGTAAATTTAAATACCTGGGATCGTGGCTTTTTGAAGACTGGGCATCGGACAGGGAAGTAAAGTGTCGCTTTGAGCAAGCTCGACAAGCTTTCGTAAAATTCAAAAAGGTACTGACTTGTTCAGAGTTCGATCTTCAACTGAGACTAAGTTTTACTAAGTGCTACGTATGGTCAGTGCTGCTATATGGCGTAGAGGGCTGGACACTCAAAACGAGGGATATAAACAGATTAGAAGCTTTCGAAATGTGGCTTTATCGCCGTATCCTAAAAATACCATGGACAGCGAAAATCATAAATATAGATGTCCTTAAAAGAATAAACCAAGAACGCCAACTTTTCGAAACCATCAAAAAAAGGAAAACGGCGTATCTAGGTCACATCATGCGAAATGAAAAATACCAGTTCCTCCAACTTATAATTGAGGGTAAAATTGAAGTCGAGAGAGGAATGGGACGCAAGAAAATGTCCTGGCTCCGAAACATAAGGCAATGGACAGGGATTAACGACATACAATCTCTGATACATATTGCAAGAAATAGAGAATTAATGGAAAATGTGATCGCTAACATCCATTAGTGGATTTGCATCTGAAGAAAAAGAAGTTCCTCAGAGACCATTTATATGTACAACAACTTTATTTATCGTTAAAGTAAGTTATTCGATACGATTAAATCAATTAAAAGTTACATTGAAAGCAAACCAGATAAAGTCCCCCCGTCTTTACACAATCCCTGTCAGCTATATTTTCATATACAGTGTAGGAAAAAGTTTATGGTCGGTATGGACCTTACGTGAGATGGAGTGAGAATCAGCTGTGTAGAAAGAGAGAGGTATATTAGGTCCGCCCTTTATATCGTCGAACATGCAAGCGTGGAAATACTAATAAAAAAGGGAAAGTTTAACGTTGCCAAACTTATTGGTTTTATTTGACGTGTTGTCTTTTTTGCATTTGAACAATGTTCTAAGATAATCAAATTTGGGCGAAATTGATTTAAATGGCAGCTTACTGTTTATTGGGAATATGCCACAAGTTTACTTTACAATAAGTGTAATATAACATTTTGATTTCCACGGTGATCGTTTTATATAAATAAAATTTATTATTGTTTCGTATTTTAAGTACGATTTCCGAATTAAAAATCTAAACATCAAAATAAGCTTATTTTAAAGTCACATTGTGCCTTATTTCCAATATGAAATAATAAACTGCATACAATAACGCCACATTAAAAAAATATTCAAACACAATAATTATACGTGTCTGGTCAAAACAACGAGTAACGAGTAGTAGAGGTGGGTCGTAGTAGTTTTATCGTTAAGAACGTAGGCACAAAATTTCGAGCCAATATTTTTTAAATGCATTCATTTTTTTCGAGTCCTGAGAAAACTTAAAGTATTTTTGAAAAATTTACACGCAGAATGAAACAATATAATATTATCGAGGGCCGAAAGTACCTGAAAACTTCTATAATGTTTATTTTAATAAGTTCTAGGGGTTAAAAAAAATTAGTGTGATTTTAAATTTCAAATATCTCATTCACAAAACTTTTTGTTTATTCTAAGGGACTTTCTGCCCTCGGTAATAATGTAATCTTTTATTTTGCATTTAAATTTTTTAAAAATATTTGTTAGTTTTCTCAGGATTCCAAAAAAAATCAATGCACTTAAAAATTTAAATTTTCGTAAACAAGAAACTATGATTGTTTAAAAGTAGTTTCAAGTAAGAGAGTATCTACATAAACAAACATAATGGCTATTATCGTTTATTTGTATATTTATTATTATCCAGATTTAACCATACAGCTCACACTCCCTCTAAGGAGAAAATTCACTCATCCCAGATATCTACGGTATCAAAAGGATTGAGCTCTGGTGGGAGTCTTTCCATGTTATCGAGTCTTATGTGACTTGGTACGGCGGTGTATTTCCTAAAAATTTTAGAACGCATCTGGACGTCGAAAGTAGCACAGCTTTCTGCATGACCTTATATAGATGTTCATTTAGACCCAGCTTTTTTATGTTTTCTAGGAGGTTCTTCGGAATGACTCCAGTGGTAGAAAGAATAATAGGTATCGTCTGGGTACTTTTCATTCTCCATTGTATTCTTATTTGTATTTCCAGATCTTTGTACTTGGCGATCTTTTCATTGTACTTAACACGCAGATTATTGTTGTTAGGTATCGCCACATCGATTAGAGTTGTTTGTCTTGTTAGTTTATTTACTAGCACGAGATCTGGTCTATTATGTGCTACAGTTTGGCCTGTGAGCATAGAGCGATCCCAGTATAGCTTGTAGTTGTCATCCTCAAGCATACTCTCAGGAACGTATTGATAATATGGGAGATGGTTTGTTTGTAGAAGTCCCAGTTTAAAAGCTATCTCTTGATAAATCTTCCCTACTGATTCATGCCGTTCCTTATATTCAGTTGAAGCAAATGCCTGGCAGCCTCCAAGAAAATGTTGGATAGTTTCTTGGGCTTGACATCCATATCGGCATTTGTCGTTTTGGACCTGAGGGTCTTTGACGATATAATTCAGGTAATTTTTGGTTGGTATAACCTGATCCTGAATGGCGAGTAATGAACCTTCTGTTTCAGGGAACATCTTTCCTGATGTCAGCCAATAGTTCGACGCTATATTGTCGACATAGTCTTGACTGACTTAATTTGGATGTCGCCCGTGCAGAGGTTTACCCATCCAGGTGCGCATTTTTTCGTTCTTAGTGAGATGATTTATGCGATGATTTATTATTATTAGTATTATATTATTATTAAGTAAAAGAAACTAATGATATATTTATTATAACTTGAAAAATAAAATAAACAATAACAATATAGTGGTTAAGTTAGGATATACATGGCGATGGTTTTTCCACCGTTGTAATGGACTCTCAATACAGGTGTACGTGTAGATGAGTCATCTCCAATTAATTGATCAAAAATACACCATGGACTTAGGTCATCTTTATTGGTTTCTTTTTCTAGTACTGGTTGATTTTCAATAGTAAAATGTTTTTGTTCGTTAATTATAGAAGTAACCAGCTTCTTAACTTTTTCTTTTTCTAGCTTCATTTTTATCAGAAAAACCCTGCACTTTAAATTGTGAATCCATAAATGTACATAATGACAATGTGCCACTCTGTTCTATTCCTTTAAATCTTTTTGCTAAACCTGATATTAGTAATTGTACTATGTCGGATATTATGGATGTAAGGTTACCGTTTGCTAAAATTTTATTGCAAGATTCTTGCAGGCAGCGTACCATAACAATCACTGAACTACCCTTCAAGTATTTTTGGTCACTCATTCTACTTGTTATTTCTTTAAAACGGCCGTAAAATTTGGGAAAGTTGAGAACAAATAATCCAGTGTTCTTTATTTAGATTTGGTCTATCTAAGTCTCTAAATCTAAAGTTAATGATCTATTAACCAGAAAATGATTCGTATCTCAGTAAATATAGTTATGCATCCAATATTACGTGTACACGCTTCATACATAGTATCTCCGATTTATGAAAAACAACCGTAGAAAATCATCGTTTCTTGAGTTACAATAATCTTCGTTGTTATTTGAAGCAGTAGCATTAGGTATCGTAACATGAGTTATTACAATAGTTTACTCTATGGATGGAAATTTACATCTGGTTACTGATAAGTACGTTATTTTGGGCGTTGGTGGTGAAACACAGCTTATTTGTTAATCTAAATACGAATTAATATTATCCCTTTAAAAGAGAAGAGGGAAAATTAGAATATCTCGGATACATAATAAGAAACGGCACTAAGTCCAGATTACTGAAAATAATCCTTTAAGGCAAAGTATTCGAAAAGCGAGGAATTGGGAGAAGAAGAATATCATGGTTAAAAAGTCCAAGGAAATGGTTTTCCACAACAACAGCTAATCTATTTAAAGCATTAGTTAATAAAAGAAGTATATAGGAGTAATAAGGAAATAATAGCATAGAAGACAAATGGACGAGGAAATTGAGAGCCTGGAGTT